TTTACCTGGGGTTGTGCTGCTAACAGCTGCTGTTAGCTGGCAACCTCTTTTTCTTCATTACAAGGTCCAGAGTTGAATGGATTCTCCATCAAAGGTGGGCTTTGTGTCTAGAGACATGCCTGTAGTTGATGCTGCCAGTCCTTTTACTCTTTTTAGCCTATAGTCTGCATGCACATAGAGCACTTCTCAAGGATGTATTCACAAGTGTAAATAGGAAGAGCAAGAGAACAAGGTGGAGAATAGAATGGGGAATTTGACAGCACATAGGATGCCTCCCAAAGTAAAGAGCAGCTTCTGGGCCCAAAATCTGGGAATTTAAGGGAAGATCTGAAGATAGTAAGAAGTTATAATGTACAAGGTACATTAAAAAAATACAAGCTTTGCCAAGCAGTCATGTGCAATTCAGTATTTCTCTGTGACTATAAGAGCACACTAATAGTTTTTAGTGATCCCCTTTTTGCCTCTTAACACTTGAAATCTCTGCTTACAAAGAAAATGGCAAAAGAATCTGTTCCCTAGAGTTGTATTCAGATCAGAAATCTCCTCCAAAACATCCTAACAGTTAAAGCAACAGAATGATTGCCGTGACTGAAAACAGGTACAATTCGTGCCCCATTCCTGTGCTGAAGTGAAGTTAAAATGATCAGAAGTCAAGATTTTGTATCTGCAATTAAAAACCTCAAAATGTCTAATGCACAGAAATGAAATAGTGACTACTAATTTACCAGTATCACTAACCACCACCTCTTTTCTCCTTCAGGGAACATGCAAAACCATAAAAGAGGTAACTCAGCATTTTTTCAAATTTACTACTATTCATTTTAATAATCTCTTAAGCATATCATTTAAGGGCAGACATTTTGCAAACATCTTTAAGGGATGCAGGTAAAAAGCTAAAAGCCTACTAAGAGTTTCAGGAAGCTCAGCAACCTTTTTCCCACTAACACCATTCTCAGGAACCTACGTACATTAAAAAAATCTGTTTCTTATTGTCTTGCATATATCTGCTTAAAAACAAAAAGCAGCTGATCCCGTCTGTCCCGCAAACCATTCTTGTACTTTCTGATTTTTCAGTCATTACAACGTATATTCAAATCTAAATTAGCTCTACACCAAAGCAAAAAGCCCACTGGAGATGTAGCTTTGGAACACTGTCGTTTCTCCAGGAGGTTTGTACAGCCATGTGGTAGTTGCTGTTACACCAGCAGACCTGCCAGATGTTAGTGAGTCAGCATCTTTTCCTTGTCTTGCCTAAGATACCTGCTCAGAAGCCTCTCAGGCAAATACTACAAAATCAAGCAGTAACACAATGGACAGTCTAAAACTCCCCAGAAAAATAAGTAAAATACAGCAGCCAGTCAGCCTAAAGGCTGGGGAGGGATTTAAACAAAGGAAAGGGTAAAATGCTGGGGTTTTGACAGTAACAAAAGACACTTTTTTGTTATAGAAAAAAATTCTGCACAATCACTTGTGCCCTGAAAGTGTAAATGTTTTGCCACTCCTTTGAGTAAAATGCTTCAAATAATCTAAACAGAACAAAAATAATCCAAATAAGATCTCTTACTGCTTCAGAACCCGAGATGGACAGGATTTAAGGGGGTCGCATTTCCATTAGCCATACATACACAGACCATGTAAGACAAAATGCTTGCTTGTTGATACAAGTTTGTATGTTTATTGGGATAATTAAAGTCTGCTTTGAATATAACCCTCAGTTGAAAAAGTCTGGTATCACATTCCTGATAGGGTTAGGTGTCAACCACTTACTGCTAATGGTGATGGTCTAATTAGATTCCAAACAACTGTAAAGTAATTGCTGAACAGGACGCAAGTTACCCTTCCTCTCCAGTCTCTTAACACCTTACTGCTTAAGAAAATCAGTTTGCTTCCACCCAACTATTAGTGAAATTTCATTTGTGCTATATTTGAAAATGACACAGAATATTTTACAGAACATTTAATTGTTTTCATTCAATGACAAACTGAGAGTGACCGGAATAGGTTTGTTAAAGGCCATTTCTGCATCTTGCTAAGCAGAAGCTATGGTCAACCTAAGGTGTGCAGTCTGACTAACCTCAACAGGTGCTCAATCTGTGCTGAAGTTGCCAGATTCAAAAGCACTCTTGAACACATCCTTACTCCATGCCATCTTTTCTTGGGAGCTAAATACCGATGAAATACCTTCCTGACCCTGGGGTAGGCTCCCCGACTCTCAGCACTCTGAGAAGTACACAGCATGCAGAGAGATTTTTCTGCATTCTAGTATAGCACAATCATCACAGAAACCAGTGCATCCACTCAAACAAATTACTCCCCGCAGTATTTGAGGGGTTATTAGGGTTAAGAACTAAAGTTTAGGAAGAACTGCCTTCCAAGCTCAGATATTTTGTTTATCTGGACTATCAGCTCTGTCCTCCTCTTGTGTGCTAAGCAGACACCACATGCCTCTTCTCCCACACTGTGCCTGAGTATCTCTGGTATCGGTCAGCTGATCCGTTGCTGAGATTAATTATACCATCAGGGATTACAGCTGTTTACAACTCTGGAGCTGGGCTTCAGGATTTACTCTTATAAAAACACACCATTCCAGCGTCAGCCCATTCATGTGTGCTTTGGCATTAGCTCTTTAGGGTAAAAAACGTCCTATTGTTATGCACAGTGTGTCTGGCACAATAGGTCATCAGCCTAGAGCATCGAAAATAATTGCCTGTCTCTGTTTACTATGAGGAGAGGCACTGAACTATAGTCAAAAAAAGCGAAGCCCACAGTGGTGAAAAACTGTGGAAATACTTAAAAGGGAAAAGTTGACAGTGAAGTCTAGAGAGGTTTTGGGTTTATTCCTTTAAGGCAGGAGTTGGTGTAGGCCTGGAATTCAGATCTGAAAGAAAATTGTGACTGGGAATGCTGGAAAGGGAGCCAATTTGTAAAAGGAAGTGATACACTGAGTTGCTTTATAGGATTCCTCTTTTACAAAGTATTTCCTTCTAGTGTGCCAAAGCATTCCCTTTGAGACAGAACTTTCAAAAAGAGGAGTAAAATCTATGGGGAAAGGATAGAGATTTCTACTGCCAAATGCCCAATCCTTTTTGTCACATTTTTTGTTTCCCCCTCCTGAAATCCTTTACACCAACGTTCCTATCTAACCCAATTTTGTCCTGTCTAACCTCCACTACATGTCCTTCTGACACCAACATACAGCATCAGCTTACCAAAGCAGCAGCTCCTTCCACTCAGTTCAAATGGAAGCAGGGCAGAAAATCACGCTAGTCTCTCCACTCTGAAAACAAGTCTGTTATGAATACAGGCCTCACAGCTAAGACATATATAATCACCTCAGCGTCTCTTTAAACACTAAGCAGTCTAAATCAGTCTGGCTTATTTATTCAGCAAGTATGCTTTCCTTTATAGGGGTAGCTAGCACAACATGGAAGCACAACCTTTGACTCTGGAGTTTTGCAAGAGTAACGGGTAAGATACCGGCGAGAGAAGGAATTTAAAAAATACTGCAGCTTTTCCTGAGTAAGCTAGCTCTGAATGCCTTGCAGCAAACCAACTACTGTGAAAGAGGAAAGAATACTCACATTTTTACAGTGGTCAGAAAATGTCCTGGGAAATGAGAAGTAAGAACTGAAGTTATTTCTTTGCTAAGTCAAAGCCACCGCTCCAGCCACCGTTTCCAGAAACTATTAGCAATGAAACTGAAGAAAGAAAAACCTTGAACGTTCATGTCAAATGATACATCTTTAATTCCTAAAAGGTGATAAGTACTAAGAAACTGATCTACTTGACAGGCAATTAATCCTCCTTGCATAGTACATTTATCTCCATGGGATATCAAGAATTACAACACTTCAGGAAAACTGGCACCTAAATGAGCAAGCAGCCCCAATCCTGTACAAAAGTTACAGACGACCTCAGTATTTTGAAGTTTTAATTTGTAATGGATCTAGAGAATAGTCTTTGCTTTGTCCACATCTATCCCACAGTACTGTATTCTTTCACTGCACTTTTCAGTTGGCCATCTGTATGAAAAACATAAAAGGCTGCAACCCACACAGATATAGTAATGCACAATAAATTAGCTTCATTCTATTCAAACCTGGCCTTTTTGAGGTCAAATACCTCAAGGTATGTAGTTATGGACTTTATTTTTTATGCAAAATGTGTACCTCACAATACTTATAAAATGATTACTTGATTGACACTTCATCCAGAAGATGTTTAAGCCTTCCCTTGAGAAGGTAAAAGGTGAGGCTTCAGTTTCAGAAGTGCTCTTGACACTCATCTAAAATAAGCACTGAATCTTACATGAAGCCAAAAAATTTTAACTTGCTTAACAAGCTTACTAACAAGACAAGAGTAAAGAGACTTTTTCATATAAAAAAATTAAAATTACGTTTTACTGTATGTGGTAGACATATCTACAACAGATTTTTTTCCTTTACAGAAAGATAGGTGGAGAGGAGCATTGTACTTACATCACCATTAATTAATCCCTTTTTTCTAGTAACTTGTGTCCTGATTTTCAAAAGCACTGATTATCAGCATATCCTAGGTACTGAATGGTAGCAGCAGGCACTCAGAACTGTTGAAAATAGACTATTAGTAGTTGTACGTATGCTGCAAACGCACCGTTTGAAAATATTCCTCTTAAAAACAGGTAGTTTACTTTTTAATCAAAATCAATTGACTAATTACTATTGTAATCATTCTTGTAGTATTTTAGAATGTTTAAAATAACTATTAACACTAATTACTTAGTACACTATAGTGGATTATGATCAAAATTAATGTCAAAAATTTAAGTTTATGATAAATAAACTTTGGAAAAATTTATACAAGGCCGTAAATAAATAATGTGAACTTCAGTTTCATTAAAAAGTAAAACAGTACGTCACACGACAATATCATCCTATCTAGACAATACAATCTTGCTATATTTTATTGCATAATAATTTGAGAGCAACATCTTAAGTAAAATATGTAAAGAAACAAAATCATTAGATTTACTTCCTTTAATATTGAACAACCAAAGTTTCTCCTTTGTACATAATCCAATTTAAAGATAATATAATTAGCACTTCCAGCATTAACAGTCTGTATTTACAATGAATGAGATGGGGTGGATAATCTAAAGAGTATTCAAATCTGTATGAAACAAATCAAAATATGAAGATTTACAGTAGGCTCAAAATCCAAGACTTTTCCATTTACGGAATGCAATTTAAAAGGCTTTGTTGTCTTTATTATTTGTAAGGGTTCCTGAAATGATTATTTTTAATAGTATTTTAAACATTTGAAATCTTCAGTAATGCCTTCATTATTTGTACATGACATTAAAAATTAATTCCAATACTTCTATTTAATTTTTTCACTTGCTTGTAGACCAGTCTGAAGTCTGGTGAAAGGATAACAAGGAAATTTACTATATAATCCTAATTCCATATTCCTGAATATACAACGGTTGAAAGTAGATGATGTCAGTCCATTCCAAGGGTTATGTACACAAAACTTACAAAATGTTCTTCGCTCTTGCATAAAATGTGTACACAGTATCAATGAGCGGGGAACTTCAAAGTTTTTATGGGTTGCTGCTGGCATGGACCTTTGTTGATTGAAAATAAAATACCTTTCACTCTATTGTTCTGGTAGCAGTTTTAGAAGTTAATCATCAATCCCTGGTGTTTCACCCTGTTGTATTCTGGAGGCTATTCTAATGGCTTCTTCCAGAGACTGTTGTTCTCCCAGCTGAAACAAATGCATTTAAACATAAATAAATCCAAAATGTTATATATGGATACAAATGTGTAAAAATAAAATTAAAGATGAAACCAAAGATCTAGATATGGGTCAATACTTTAGCACAAATAAGTGTGATCAGTATTGTCACACCTCTTCTGGGTCATATATACTACCAGCTATCTAATCAGCATGACAGTTAAGATAGCTTCTGATTGCAGATTAAACTGAGTTTCTATGTATATATCAAATAAATTTTCTTCAAAAGAACTGCTGCACAGTAAACACATTTCATGATTCATCACAAAGTAGATGATATTTCAACTTGGCAGATATAACAAAGGTAAGATAAGGCTTTCAAAAGCCATGGTGACTGTTGAATTACATTTTAACACTGGTAAAGCAAAACAAATATTCATTTTTTTAACTCTCTTGCAGAAAGTTAGCTCTTTAGAACACCATATGACATTAATATATATAAACTGCATATACTTATTGCACAATCCCAACTGTATAAAAAAGCAGTCATGATGACACTGTTTGATTCTACAGTAGTTCAGAGGAAATCTTGTAGTTGCAGCTACAAGGCCATTGATGTATCTGACACTGTCAGAAGCAACATCAACCAACCCTGAATAAAGAAAACTAGACACAGTTTTGGTAAAGAATCCATGGAGTTTTATAATATGTACACCATGCATGTACATCCAGTGATGGGAATGCTGAACACAACCTCAACCTAACAAAAACGTAAAGCTGGCCATTACCTATTGGCTCCAGAGAAAGATGTATGAGAGTGTGAAAAGTAAAACCAGATTATTTGACAGATGGATAGACCCAATGGGACAGTTCTAAATATCACTTGTAACTTGTTTTTACATTCACTGGATATCACATTCTGGAGCCACTCAAGCGCAGCTCCGTTAGCAGCTCCTTAGGACTTCAATCTGGCTATCAGTCTACTGGCTTTATCAGTATTTAGAAACCAAATGGATTCATTTAGTAGTATCAAAGTACAAAAGAGAAACAATCAAGAACTCAGGAACAATCAATAATATTCTAAATTTGAATTCTGTCTCTTCTATTTGTATTGTATATTTCAAGTTTAATTAATATAAAGATACTTCACCGAAAGCTTCACTGCTGGTAACAAAAGAGGGGCATGCACAGAGAGTGCCTATGTTTTCCTTTCATTCAAAGGACACACTGCTGAGGATGCAAGTTACTTTATTTTCTTCCTCTCATGCAAAACAATTGCCTTCTGATATGTGTTCTCTTACAGGCAGTTTTGATGACTGCCAGCTTAGCTCAAAAGACTGGAGTTCAGAATTAAGAGCTTCTCTACTTTCATTGCTCTTCAATCAGCATCTGATTTGCTATTTTCCTTTTAACAAAGGGGAAAATAACAATCTCTCATTTCTGCTTGAATATATTAACACAATTCCTTTCAATCTGAGCTCTTAAGAGAGCATCGAGCATATGTACACTTAGACTGGAGCATTAATCCTGAGGCTCAAAGGTTTTGATCTTATATTAGTTTCAGCAAATACGAAGTTTGAAGGAACCAGACTTAAGCTGCTGCTACTTGAGTGTATTTTACACCCTGGAAATGAAATTTGTGAGTGCATTTTCTGCATTTCTTTTTCTATTTGAAGCTATTTCCAAGAACCTTCCAAGAACACATATTAACTTATACTGCTTAATACCATTTTGTTTAGAAACTCTTTTGAGCATCTCCTCTCTACATAGCCACACTGATGTTCTTGGTATTGATACTTGTCAGAACTAAGGCCCATTATGCAAACCATACTCGAGACAGTTGCATATACTCCACTCTCTTTGAAATTCACAGGGTGTATCACATCCATGAAAATTATCCTCCTCCTAATTGCATACTGTTTCAGGATGTATGGTTCCTGTCATTTTCCATGTTCTCTAGAATAAAATGTACGGCTGTGGTGATACCCAGACAACAACAGGATCAAACCCACAAAGTGTTGAGTACCAATTCCACAGTAAATTTGACTACAACGGTAGCTTCATTATATTCCCACTGCATTTCTTATTTATGCGCATAGTTAAGCACAGAATCAAGAGGGCTATGAGGTGGACCAAAAGTATTAGGCACCTTGCAGTGATACTACTGTGCAACCCAAAATTTAAACTAATTCAACTCCTTTTATTTTACTTTGAGTTTTAAATGGGCTTCTGTCATTGGAATGGCAATTTCCCCAAGATCCTTCAGTCATTTATTTGACTCTTGACTGCAATGTCATTTAAAGAGATGAATTTTTATTTAATCTTCCAGGTTTAAAATTTCCAAAAGCTTCTATTAACCTACCATCATATCATATGTAACAAAAATAAAATATACACATAGTTAATTTAATGTTTGAGTAAGGTAGCATACTGGCCATTGTTTGCCCTAGAAGTTTTGTTCAGCCTTCAGTCAAGCAAAGCTTCCCTCTGAATAAACTATTCATGAAAATACTTGTCTAGATTTTGGGTTCGGTTGCTTTCTAGGTCAAAGCTTAATTTGTGCTTGGTTTCCGCCTTCTTTTAAATTAGCCTGATTTAGATTATACTCTTTAATACTTAGAAATTACTCTTTCATTACAGTGTTTGGACAATGCGAGGAACTATTTACAGAGACTGCTGCTTGTACTGTGCTGGTTTGACACATAAACAGAAGGTTACTTTTTCCAGAGATATCTGATTATTAATCTTTCTGTATAACTGTTTACATGTCTTCACTATTAGCATTTCAAGGTTCAAATAACATAAATTCAGTAATTTTATCTGTATAAGTTCACAGCAATTTACCCTTGAGAGCTTGGCTTTATATGTATAAGCTCTACATGTAATGCTGAAGGATGAATGAAAACACTTCTCCACTGAAAACCTGTGACTCCACGCATGACTCAGTTGACCTGAAGTTTGGCCCTCCCCTTTTTTGGAAGTTCTACAGGTAGATTTGGAAAATCAGGTGCTTATCCTTCTTCTTCCTAACCCTATATATTATTTAAAATATGAGATCATATGGTTATGGACTATTTTATCAGGGAAGCCAATCTTATTTGAACCGTTTTGTTACATGACTAGGAGCTTCTAGCTCTAGAAGAAGGAAACACTCCAAAACACGTTTATCACCATCTTACCTGTACTGCAATTTGTGTTCCATTGGATGTAGCCAACAATGTAACAGGTCTACTTTCTGTAGTCACTAAGTGGTGCCCATGTTGCTGGTGTCCCATTTCTGATGAGGCACTATGAAATGCTGCTAAGTCTTGAGCCACAATGGCAACCTTCGAGACCAAAGGAAAAGAATCAACTGGATGACAGATCTGTTACCATTACTGACCTCATACAATGGTGGTCTTCAAAATTAAAGTTAAATTCAAAGCTGTGATTATTCACGAGCAAAATTTTATTGTGCAAAAGATAAATTTTTAGGAAAAGTTGTCATTGCTGTATTCTCAAAGTTATCTGTTAGCTCTCAAAACATAAATATCCTCAGAACTGCACGAAAGTTCAATAAATATGCCTGTAAGCCTGTGATTATTTATACATATAGAGCACAGCGATTAGTAAGTATCTTCATTTTCATGTGGCACAGTTTTAGGACTGTGGAATGCATTTTAACTTAAAGATCAAAAATTATATTACTGTATTTCTACTAAAAAAGTTAGCTATTGTATTTGTATATTAAAAAAAACCCCTGCAAATATATACTTACACAAATGTTTCCTATCTGCCAAATAAATTACAGTTCCATAATATTAAGTGATAAAGTTACAGTTCATACTGGTTTATACTCTTAGCTCTGCCACTCATTTACTATGTGACTTTGGGGAAAACACTTAGCATTTCTGTGTCTTATTTTACATACACCTAATTGAATTACCGGACTGGTACCTCAGAATTTTTTCTTGGTGCTCAATTGTTTTTAAAACATTCAGCCATACGTTGATGTGGACTAGAACACATCATACTCTCCTGATGGGAATGCTATGGCCGGGTGTTGAAAACTGCTTTACTTAAATAAAACTATGTGACTGACAGAACTGTGATGGCTTAGGTGCCTATTTTGTATCATCATTGTGTTGGGTTTGCGTGGCAAGGTTT